GCTGGCTCATGGTCATCCTGCTGTCCACTCTCCTTGCACTGCAGGGTGCTGGTTACATTCCCCTGCTCTGTCCAGGGACCTCAGGGCACTCACTTGTGGGGTTGGACTCTCTGGTGCAGCCCTCAGCTTCCTGCCATTAGTTATCTCATTGGACCACGGGCACACATGTGCTGCAGCTCAGGCCAAGCCTGCAGGACATTTTCAGTTGCAGGCAGATGTGTTGCAGCCCTTGAGCAGTGAACAAATGTCACCCCAACTGCACAACGCTCAGGAGTGGTTCTGACCCAGACCCCATCCCTGCCATAGTGCACGGCCATTGCCCTCCCTCCCTGCACCGTTGAGTGGGGTCTGATCTCCCCTTGCCCCCAGCATAGCACCAGCCACTCCAGTTTTGCATTTCTCCACGTATTTATAATTTCAGAGTGGAATGAAAGGGGATGGATCCTCTTTGAAGTTAGCTGTGCTGGGGAGGAGTGGCTTTCACCTCCTTCCTTGCCAGCAGCACAGTTTGCAAAGCCCTGCTTTGAGAAGGTGCCACACCACCTTGTTTCCATGCCTGTGGGTTAGGCAGTATCACAACAGAGACGGTGGCACTGACGCTCCCCCTGTTTGCGAGGTGTGAGTCACTCTATAGTTAAAGTCTTTTTGTTAAAATCAAAGCTTCACTCTTACAGAACTCTCTTTTGCTGGCTGGGGAGGCTGCAGAGGAGCCCTGGAGGAGTCTGGCCAGGTTTTTCACATGCTTTGTCTTCACTCATGTTCACACTCCCTTGGTAATGATCGGCTCTGTCCCGCTCCCTTTTCTCACAGGTAACTTTGAGCAGTCCAACGAGGAGCTCAGAACCATCATCAAAAAAATCTGGAAGCGAACGAGTATGAAACTTTTGGACCAGGTGATCCCACCTATTGGAGGTAATGTCACTTGGGGGTGACACCCAGAGAGGCAGAGCAGCGCCTGGTTGGGATCTCAGCTGCTGTGACAGCTCGGGGGCGTCTGCAGGGCAGTATCATCAGGTTGGGTTCCTCCCCTTCAGATGACGAGGTGACAGTGGGCAAGTTCTATGCCACTTTCCTCATCCAAGAGCATTTCAGGAAGTTCATGAAGCGCCAGGAGGAGTATTATGGGTACCGGCCGAAGAAGAACCCTGTGGAGATCCAGGTTGGTAGCGTGTGGGTGGCGTTGGAGGGACGACCCTTCCTGGGGGCAGGCAGGGTGTGGGGGGAGCTCTGCAGACCAGGGAGGCAGCTTCCCCCAACCCAGGAAAGTCCAGGGTGACCAAGAGAGACAGAGCTGCAGGAACACACAGGGCCTCAGCCTCTGGAAATGGGATGGCCCCAAGTGAACCAGTGCTGAACTGGCCATGAACACTCCCTGGCTGAGGGTGACCCTCATCTCCAGGGTGCAGGTGACTCCAGAAGCAAGGGAGGTTTTTCACAGAATCACAGAATCCCAGACTGTTAGGGATTGGAAGGGACCTCAAAAGCTCACCCAGTCCAATCCCCCTGCCGGAGCAGGAACACCCAGATGAGGTTACACAGGAAGGCGTCCAGGCGGGTTTTGAATGTCTGCAGAGAAGGAGACTCCACAACCTCTCTGGGCAGCCTGGGCCAGTGCTCTGTCACCCTCACTGAGAAGAAGTTTCTTCTCCAATTGAAGTGGAACCTCCTGTGTTCCAGTTTGTGTCCGTTACCCCTTGTCCTATCATTGTTTGTCACCGAGAAGAGCCTGGCTCCTTCCTCGTGACACTCACCCTTTAAATATTTATAAACATTTTGACTCTGCCCTGCTGACTTCAGCTGCAGAGAGGGCTCAGCCAGGTCTGATGCTTCACCAAGCAGTTTTAAGACCTGGACGTGCCCCTCACAGACCAACATCTGGGCCAAATGCTGCTCATCCAGGCCCTTATCTACCTACTCTTCTCCATTCCCAGGGCCTGCTCTCTTTCCTCACCTTAGCAGTGTTGCAGATACTTCTGTGTGCCTGGTGCTCTCTGTGTCATCTCAGTGCAGCGTCAGATGGAGAGGGCTTGGTGTGGCTGACCTTGAGCAGGACCACTGCAGGCAGAGAAGCCTGCACCACAGCCCTGAGGGATGCTGTCGGGGAGGGATGGGAGAGGATTTATGTGCCTGGCCAGAGTAGCTGGGAGGTCCCCAGCCTCTCCTCACGTTATAGGGAGGAAATAGCTTGTAGAGATCAAAGACCAGGCGCCAAAGATGCAATGTGAGGAAAAGAGCCAGGCTCCAGGTCAGATACCTCCAGATCAGGGACTAAGGTACAGCTGCTCCTTGCGCATCACCAGCCTGACCCTTCATCAGGCTGCCCCTCTCACATCCCTCTGCGGGACAGCATGAGCCCAGAAGCTGTTTCACCCAGCCCAGAGCCTCATGGCTGCAGGGCAGCCCATGACCTGTCCCTGGTAGGAGACCTGGCGGGGCAGCGCGGCTTACCAGGGGAGTGTGCTTCATCGTGTTCCCTCTCCAAAGCCCCAGTGAGACCAGTGGTGGGGCCAGGCCACATCCAGCCGTGCCTTCTTGTCCCCACCAGGCTGGGCTGAGGAGCATTGAAGAAGAAGCTGCTCCTGAAATCCATCGAGCCATCTCTGGGGACCTGACTGCTGAGGAGGAGCTGGAAAGAGCAATGGTGGAGGCTGCTATGGAGGAAGGGATATACAGGGTGAGTGCAGCCCTGGTGGTGGTGGTCCTGCCCCATTTCCATGTGGTGGTGGTGGGTCAGCGTGGCTACCAGCAGTGGAGGACAGCCTGACTGTGGAAAACAGTATGGACCACAAGGATGGGGCAGCACTTCTGTCCTTTCCTTGAGCATCAGGACATCCTGGTTGAGTCGTCATGGGCAACCTGCTTTCAGCCTCAGTTTCCCCTCTGTAAAAGGACCCTGCTCATACACCTGGCAGTGATGTGCTGAACATTTACCTGTGGGTTTGGAGGGCTCCATTCACACCTTCTGCCAGGCTAAGGCAGGACAGCTTAGAATCATCATTACCAGAGCAGGAACAATTTCACTTCTTACTTCCAGGGAGTCTTTGAACCGGCCTGGGCAGCTGTGGTGTTGCAGGGTGGCACCTCCTGCTGTGTCCAGAGGTGTCACCAGCTCAGGCTGTCCCACAGTGGTGGCAGGATTTGTCACACACAAGGCTGGCTCTCATCCCAGTGCTCCTGCGTGGCCATCAGTGCCTCAGTTTCCCCAGCTGGGCAGTGAAGCTTTCAACACTGTGGTCTGCAAGGCTCGAATAGAGAGACAAGCAGAGAGACCACTGTTCCCAGGGGTACCCCCACACATCTCCTCCTGTGGGAATGGCCCCAGAGCTCCAGGCTTCCTCTGATGCCCTCCCTGTTGGTTGCAGAGAACCGGTGGCCTGTTTGGCCAGGTGGACAGCTTCCTGGAGCCCAGCAGCCCCTTGCAGCCCCACATGGCCAGCCAGAGGCCCCTGCAGTTCACGGAGGTGGGCAGTGAGGACCTCGACTCCCCCGTCTTCCTTGATGACTTCCCCCAGGAAGGCAACACCAACACCAACAACGCCAACAGCCGTGAC